TGCCCGGAGTACTGCACGGCCACCCCGCTAGCTCACGTTTTCGCCTGCTCCAAGCTCTCTGTCCCATCACCTTCACACCAAACCACCCTGTCAGCTGCATGTGCAGTTCGAGAACGGCTCCTGCCTGGTTCGGATCCTAGTGCTGACACATGCTAGCCCGTGTGTGACCTAGGGTTGATCACTTCCCTGTCCGAAGCCTCTGCTTCCTCATCCGGAAGGCAGCGGTTTCCTCAGTTGTGACACCAAGAGCCCACTGATATGGCAGTGGGCTCAAAGCCGAGCACAAAGCTGGCCATGTTTTGCAACTTCCATGGGGGAGGAACTGAGGCACAACAGTTCCAGCTCAGCTCACAGTGGCACTGCGGGAGGTGAACAGGCCAGGCCCCCGGAATACGTCTCCTGCCGCTGTTGTGGGGAGCCCCACTCCCAGGCACTGCGCTGACCATGCAGGTGACCGGCAGCCCCAGAAGCCAGGGCGCCAGTCCCACGAGGCCCCAGCTGCCCTTTGGAATGCCCTTATCAGTCACACGGGCAGCACTCGAGAATGAATGCTGCCCCACAGGTCACCTTCCCTACCCGGCTGACACAGGAGAATGTTATCTGTAAAGTCACTCAGGGGCCCGGCCCAGCAGGGATGTACTGGCAGAGCCACCGCCCGGGAAGCTGGAAGTCACACGAGAAGCCCAGGTTGGGTTTGTGGGCCAACCGGAACATGCCGGGCACGGCTGCGTGAGCTATGCTGGGGCAGGAGGACCGTGACACAGACAGACCCCGCCAAAAACACATATCTGTCTCTCCCCCTTTCTCCATCTCTTCCTCCCTACTCCAGATCCCACATGGCACCTGAGGTTCCACTCCCTGGCCAGGTCAACCTGACACATGCTGGGCACACACTGCCTTCTCTTAAAAGGGAAAAAAAAAGTCACCCAGACGATCAGCAGATCTCGTCTCTGAAGCAATTCTCAGGGGTCCCTGCAGAGCTGGGCTTCATCCTGACTGCTCTGGCTTCCACTGGCCCCTACCTTATCTTCCCAGACAGCATTTCCTACACACATTAGGGACCACACGGAAAAGGGAAAAAGTCAGGAGGGGCCAGGCAGATGGAGGTGGGAAGTGAAGTAAATGTAATTAGCAACTCGAACGCTCATCGACCTCACAGGGACGTTCTGTTTCCAGGGAACGAGGCTGGCAGATGCGGAGCTGCTTGGATTTGCCCAGGCCCCATGTGCTCGGTCGGCCTATCTTTCCATGAGGGAAACACCTGCTTTCCATGCTGCCGGACCAGGGAGCCTGGACGCACTGCCCTGCCCTGCCCTGACTTCCTTTGTTGGACAGGCCCACATGCAGGACTGATGGGCAGGGTCTCCCAGAAGGAGAGTCACTCCTCCCGCACTAACCTAGCGACTACCACCCTGGAGCCCCAAAGCAACACACCCAAGGGGTACCAAGTGATGGTCTTTCCCTTGCTGAGAAAAGACTTGAGGCCAAACGTCAGCTGGAAAACTTTTAGTAAATACAATTCGTGTCTATGGGCTATGGAGGGAAATTAACAGCCGGCTCAAATCGGTCTGATCTCTGGCTATTTCCCAACAGGAAGACCCTCCTCTGCCTAGGGCAGTGAGCTCATCTTTAGGCCACACTTCTCATTCCTGCCCATGATGTGGCACAGAGGTCACCCTGGACTCCAGGGTGGCCTGGCTGCCCCAAGACCCAGAGAAGCACAGGCAGCTCAGGGCGGGGCAGAGCTCCAGCAGCGAGCCTTGGTGTCCCCTGCCGGCCTGCTCCTCCATGTGCCACCTGCACAGACAACTGAGGCCCCCCACCTGCCCCTAGTCCAACACACTGTCTGCTGATTCCCTCATTGTGGAGGGGCCACTTGAAGCACCATCTTGTGCCTGTCCCAGAGAAAGCAAGTTTAGATCTGAATGGAAGGAGGCAGAGGTGGGGGACACGGCCCAGCAGCAAGCCCAGGATTCCCAGCACGTGGAGACATCCAGTGTAAGCTGCTAGCCCGCTGCGCTTGGGGGACACATCAAAGACGGCCCAGCAGGGCACTTCACGACATCAATGGAAAGAACGGTTTATTTTTAATGACAGTGTGCATGAGAGGGAGAGAGACAAAGTGGGGGTAGTCCTCACAGGGTACTTTCCTTTCCCCAGCCTTCCAGCTCCTCATAATTCTGGGTACTCATGCACATGCCCTGTGTTTTTGGGCAGACTTGGGGATCCGAGCCCAAGGCCAGCCACGTGGCTTCCAGTACTGTGGTCCAGTGTACTGCAGACAGTGCCACCAGGGTGGGCTGCAAAGGGCTGTTTCTGAGTTCCTGTTTATGAGGCGAGAGGGGCACAAGAACCCTAAATCTCTTCCTTCCTTCACCCTAAGCCCAGCTCGGAAGACTACACTGAGCAGTGGCCTGCTGTCAAGATAAGCTTCCTATGAGCCACTGTCCCTTATCCAAGGCTGTGCACACACCAGTGGACCTGGTGGCTCCTCTCTTATCTGATGGCTCCAGACAAAAGTGCCCCTTTGGCCTGCTTCTCCAGGTCATCAAAAAGATAACTCTAGGGCCCCAAACAAAGGCCTTCCAGAGTACCTCAGCCTTGGAGGCTAACTGGGAATAAACTCCCTCTTTGGTTCCCCCTCTCTCTTTTTAAATTTACCAGAGAGTATGTACACTCGCAGGACAGAGACAGAGAGAGAGAGAGAAAGAGAGAGAGAGAGAGAGAAGCCCCTCACCCCGGGTATGGCCATGCCACGATCCCTTCTCCTCCATTCTCCTCTTAGGATTTTGGGCGTATACGCACCTGGCACATTTCTCAAGGTGCTGAGTCTGGGATCCAGCTGCCTTAACCACCTCGCCACGGGCTACGCGTGCTTCTCTTTGTAAGAGCAACTTACTCTGGCCTGACTCTGTACTGTGGTGACACACTGCTCAAGACAGGCCAGGTTCCACGTGGCACCTGAGGTTCCAATCCCTGGCCAGGTCAACCTGAACACGCTGGGCACACACACAAGTGCCCAGAATCTGACAGGCTGGGGGAATGGAGGGTGCTCTTCTCTCTCTCAGGCAAGTACATCTACCATGAATAAAGAGAAAAGACTAATAAAAAAAGAGCAAATGACTCAGATTTTCTGAACTTGTTTTGGCAGGTGACAGGGCTCTGCTCATCAGGTATCTTAAAAGCTGCAACAAGGAGGGGCCAGCAGATGTTGCAGCAGTTATGTTGCTGGACTTACCACATGGCTTACCGCAGTTCGAGCCCTAGACCTGGTGGCTTGAAAGTCACGCCAGGCAGTTGTGTGTGCCAGCGTGCTCAAGATCCCAGGAGGAGAATGGAGGAGAAGGAACTGCGGTGTGGTCATCACCCCGTGGGGGGGTGGGGGGATTTTCCACTTTCCCTTTCACTGCCTCTGTTTCTTCTCAATGGCTAAAAAAAAAAAAAAAAAAAAAAAAAACTCTAAAAAAAATAGCTGCAACAATAATAGCAGTAAGAAAGATAAAAACTGACCCTCGCTCTTCTAGAAAAGGGTCCCCAAATCCAGTCCCTTGAAATCCTAGGAGTATTAGACCAGCCCTCAAGTCTTAAGGGAGCCAGATCCCATGTGGCTGTCAGGTTCGAGTCCTCGCACCAGCAGGCTGAAGAACATGCCAGGTGTGCGTGTGTGTGCCCCAAATCCTGACAGGATGGAAAAATGGAGGAAAAGGGGATTGTGGTATGACCACACCCACTGGGCTTTCTCCCTCTCTCTCCCTTGCTCTCTTTCTCTCTCGAGAGCACACGTGCCCTCAAGCAATGAACAAAAAAAGACTTAAATAATTTTTCTAAAAATCCTAGGAACATCGTTATCACTAGAGATGAGTGAACCTACAAGCTGCACCGGCTGCTTTCATACCAGATCAGAGATAGGGCAGGTACAGTATGCTCTGATGCAACTCCCCATTGGCAGGGCCCAGGAGGGTGTCCCTCCAGCCACAGCAGAAAGAGGCATGTGTACCCCAAGCCCTGGCTTCAACTGCAAGACTCACCACATGGGCAGCCCAGAGGGAAAGGGACACAGGAAAGATTTGCAAGTTAATGATAAACAAATCTGGTCAACGGTCCTCAACCCTCCCTCCACCCCCTTTCAACCTGATCTTATTTCACTTTCACATCTGTAGCTGAAGCTATGGACTCTACCGTTCGCCTACCTGCCCTCTCGCTCCTCCCAGAGAGCATTCGGGTCCAAGGTGCCCCACTCTTCCACCGAAAGGCGCAGTGGCAGAAACACGACCCAGTTCAGACTCTTCCTGAAGCAGAGAAGCTTGGCAAAATCTAGGTAGGTATTTACACAACTGTGAGGGGCCTAGCACTCTAATGTACAACAGGAAAACCTCACTCCACACATGGCACCCAGGGAGACTGCTAGCTATGAACATCTAAAATAAAGTGTAAAGTTTTAATTTCCACGTGCATGTGCATGAATGGAGAAAGAGCGAGACAGAGGAAAAGAGAAAAAGAGAGCGAAAATGTGCATAGGCAAAGTATCCTTTTCAGAAACTTAGAAACAATAACAAGTGGACAATGAGCCTCAGGGGCTGAGGGCTCCTTCAGCGTCAGCAATAACCCGGAGCACAGGTACTGAGCAATTCCTTGAAACCTCCTCGACCTAAGAGCATGGCTGAGGCTTGTCTCCCAATCCTGCTATTTCCAGCATGCCCCAGGGGTTCGATGACGCTGAGCAAAATTGGCTACTTGTCACCTGAGCACAGGGAGTCAAGGAGAAAACGCCTCCTGCCTGCTCAGTGCACAAGGCGCTGTGGAGATAAGGCTGACGGTAAATGGGTTTTCACGCGGACAAAAATGTGTTCTCACTTGGACACTTAAAAAAATAAAAAACAGAAAAAACAGCCTGGGGCTGCAAGAAAGCTGGGAGGCAGCCTCTGGTCCAGGTCACAGACATCAGACAGGAGTGGTGTGATGACACCGAGTGCCCTGGGCTGTGGCCAGGGCCTGCTTACCTCTGCTGATGCGCTGCTTCTCCCCAGACAGGATCCCGGGCGTGTCGATGATGCTGATGCTGTCGAGGACTGGGTTGGGCAACTGGGCACACATGAACCTGCACGAGGGCAAGAGCCAGGCAGAATCAAGACAAAGCTGGCACTGCTCAGAGGCAACGACAGGGCTTTCCACGCTCCTCTTTCTCCACCTCAGGCTTCCTTTCCAGAAGAGCAAGAAACTTATAGGGGTTTTCCTATCATCTTAGTTTCCAGAAGTGACCAGCAAATTGTACACATTTTCTTAACTGGGAACACAACCAGAGGCTCAAACTGACCCACGTCAGCACTTCTCTCACGCTTGCTTTTCCCCCAGTGTGTGAGAGTTCAACTTACAAGTTGCTGACCTGTTAGTGAAAAAAGTTGTTTTTAAAATATTGCCAGAGGGCCACGAAGGCATGGAGAAAAACAGAGAAAGAGAGAAAATAAGAAAGCATGCCCCATGGGGAATGGCCACAATGTAACCCCTTCTCATTTCTCCTTTCAGGATTTTGGGCGCACACACACACACACACACACATACGTGTGGCATGTTTTTCAAGCTGCAGGGTCAGAGACTCGAACCACACACTCGATTATATGGGATCCAGCTGCCTTAACCACCACAGCACAAAGTGACGTTAGTGAAAACTGCTTGAGCCTAGGTCACCCCATTCCAGCTCAAAAGGGAAACACTGGAACCTTGGAATTGCATATTAAAAGTCCCACATCCCAAGGAGAGCTGGTTGCTGCCTACTGCTGCTAGGGCCAACCAACCCCTTGCACCCAGCTGCTTGGGTGAAGGCACTATGGCTACCACTGAAAGCTGGGGGACCATGAGGGCTGGCTGATGATGGGGCCAGGAAGTACAGTCACATCATCCCCTGATAGTCAAAGACAAAGAAGACCAAAGCTGGGGTCCAGCAGAAGGTGTAATGGCTACATCACTGGACTCCCATATAGTCAACTGCAGTTCGAGTCCCGGACCCAGTGGCTTAAACTCACGCCGGGCACATGTGTGTGCGTGCCCAAAATCCTGAGAGAAGAATGGAGGAGAAGGCATTGAGGCATGGTCATCCCCCCTGGGGAGTGATTTCTCACTTTCTGTCTCTGTCTCTGTCTTTCTGGCGAGCACATGCCATATAGCAAAAACCTCTTAAAACAAAACAAAACAAAAAGAATGAGCGAAGCTGTGGAGAGGCCGGCCTGGGCAAGCAGTAGCTGTGTGCCCCTGAATTCCAAACTGAGCTTAGAACAGCCTAGATCAGCAAGGGGCTGTCTCAACTGATAACAGGGGTTCTTTACTGGACAGAGAAAAGGCTCCATTTAAAACTTCTCTGAAAAACTGGGAACCAGCAGTTAGCGTAATGGCTATGTCCCTGGACTCCCACGTAGTCAACCGCGGTTCGTGTCCCGGACCCGGTGGCTTAAAACTCACGCCGGGCGCGCGTGCGTGCGTGCCCAAGATCCCGAGAGGAGAATGGAGGAAAAGGGATTGCGGCGTGACCATCCCCCCTGGGGGGTGATTTCTCGCTTTCTGTCTCTATGTCTCTCTCTGTCTGTCTGGCGAGCGCACGCGCCCTACAGTGAAAATCTCTCCAAAAAAAAAAAAAAAACTTCTTTGAAAAAGATACTGCGAGCAAAGAAAATGTTGACCCAGTGTTTGCAGGACACAAGCCTAAAGTTGCCTTTCCCACAGGTGGAGGGGTGGGGACACTAGTTGATCAGCTTCTCCTTTTGGCCCATCCCCCAAGGGACCAGTGGCTGACAGACTGGGGACAGCTGGCAGGGTGAGAGGTGCTGTCTAAGAGTGCAACAGAGCAAAAGCTGCGGAGCTGCAGGGCCGACGCACCTGGGCTCCGTCCTCACTAGAGCCACAGCCCGGTGTTGTCAACGACAGCATGCCAGGCCCGGCCCCGTGAGGAAAGGGAGTCACTGGAAAGACCACAGAGGAGGATCTGAAACAGAATGGGCTCTGAGAAGTAACATCCAGGAAAACGTCCTGCCACCAAGCCTGGGGAAGGAGTTAACATCTGTAGGACTCCCAAAGGAGCCCCCCCCCTCCCGCCCCCTTGCAAAGCCCAGGGGCGTGGCCCGAAACGAGAAAGGGAGCGGGCAGTGAGGATGCTTCCGACCCCATCGACTCGCCAGCAGGGACGCACAGATTTCATCTCGCCCCACAGCTGGACAGTCCAGTTATGCAACGGGAGTTTTCGTGAGCTACCCTTCGAACACCCTGACTGCGCCCTGCCTCAGTCTGTCTGTTCCATCTGATTGTCTTCTCAGCAGCCACCCAGGGGAAGAGGCCGGAAAGTCCAGTTCATGACTCAATGGCTCTCTTGAAGAGTGCTGGGAGGGGCTGTGTCAGCCAGAGAAAAGCCCCCTTTGTTGTGCCCTCCCTGGCTGGGCGGCACTCCGTGCACTACACATCCTGACACAGCTCAGGGCCTCGGCTCTGGCTCAGGCCCCTTTGAGCAGGGCCACCAGCCTTTGGGACCCCTGGAAGTGAGGTGGCGGCAATGAAGGAAATAAGTGTGGTTCTTGGATTCCCGGCTATCAAAGGCCCTGTGCTCTTCTCTTCTGGCAGAAGCAGCAGTGGGCAGCAACTGGCTGCACATGGGCCAGACAGCCAGCACTGCATTAGCCTAAGGGGTGGCCCTGACGAATCAGCTGGGGCCCCCGGCCTCAGTATGCTCACCGATCTCAAGGTGAGGGTGGCCGAGATGGTGAGAAAGATCCCTCAGCTCTGAAACTCTAGGCTTTCAAGTCCAGAAAACGGGTTGTGTGCTCTATTTCTCCTTCCTAAAAAGGTCTGCCCTTATGACCAAAGCTAGGAAGACCTCGGGAGAGCAGAGGGAGTGGCAGCGATCCTTCCTGCAGCTTCACAGAGCTGTGTGTGGAAGCAGAGACCTGATGCCCAGACATCTCAGCAGAGCAGCCAAACTTTCCACAAGATCGAACGGCTCCCTATCTTCAGGCTGAGGCTGCAAACACGATACCCTCAGAAGAAGGCTCAAGGTGAAGAGGAGCCTTAGCCCAGAGCACTTGACTCAGCCTGGCCCAGACAGACACACTCGCCATCAGCTAGAAACCAAGACAGGCTACGTGCCTGCAAGAGGCAGACAGCCACTGTTCACGTTCAGCTCTGTGGCTGGGCAGGCCTGGTCCCTGGCTCAGCTCTGGGTCAGGCAGGCCCACCCCAGGCTGGATGGTGTCTGGAAGGAATGTGGTCATGTGGGTGGAGACCTGGAAGGCAGGACTCAAAGATTCCTTCCTGGGCTCTTCCCCTGACACAGACTTTGAAAGGCATGCGGAGTCACTCCTTGAATGGGGGGGTGGCTAAGAGCAGAGTCAGTCTAAAGGCCTTGGTAAGTCTCTTGGGGGGCTGGAGCAGGGATGCCTTGAGTTCCTTTGGAGAAAAGTGAGCTTGGGCTTCTACAACTTAATGAGGCGGCTGCTGTTTCATTCATAGCTTGGTGAGACCTAGAATCCTGGTTACTCTCATTAGGAGCAAGCAGATTTCACCCATGTAGCTGGGGAAACTGAGGCCTAAGTAGGTTAGGAGCTTTCTGTAGGGTTCGTAGAGGAACTCTGGGCCCAAATCTCATTCCAGGGCTCCCAGTGTCCTCCTTAAGGGAGCACTGACCCTTTGAGAGCTACCTTTGGGAGAAGTTTTCAAAACCCATTTGTCCCCTGCCTCCCTGGAGCTACCCCATAGTAACCAGATCCTCTCTATCCCTCCTACACAAAATCGCAAGTCCCAAGGGAGATGGAGTAACACTATACCACGCCAGCAAAGGGTATGGCTAAAAGTTCCTGCGTGTTTTCTCACAGAGCCCAAGAACCAGTCCCCTGAAGAAAGGAAGGGTTAAAGGGTTGATCTGAATGAATTAGGTGCGTCCAGTTAGAGGAAGAGGGTGGAGAAGACAGCAACGACTCACTTTCCTAACGCAGCCCCCCCACCCACTCACCCCCGTTCTAAGGCAAGTGGGACTGGGCTGCACCCGGGGGCGGGGGGAGGTTGAGTTAAACTAATAACTTGTTAAATTCTGGGGACGACAGATACCAGGAGAGCCGACTTCGCCCAGTCCCAGACCCCAAGGTGGGCTCCCGTCCCAGGGAGTGGTTGCTGAGAATCTTGCTGGAGCCTCGAAGACAAAGGATGGCAGGGGCCTGGAATGCCCCTCTCGCCCGCGGGGGGTAGGGGTGAATACCTGTTGAGGAAGGCGTTACCGAAGGCGTTGAGCTTGCGAAAGGGGCGCCGCGGGTCGACGACGAGCGCGTTGCCGGGCACCACGCCCTCGGTGGGGCCGTGCATGACCGCAATGAAGGAGTCGGTGGTGGGCTCGGGCCCGATGCGCATCCCCGGGAAGTCCTGCTCGATCAGGTGTCGGATGAAGGTGGTCTTGCCCGTGCTGTACTGGCCCACCAGGAGCACCATGGGCTTGTTGTCGAAGTCAGCGTCCTCCAGCGCGGGCGAGTGGAACTCGTGGAAGCGGTAGTGCTCCTCCAGGGGCAGCAGCTTCTGCGCGTACAGCTGCCGTAGCCCTTCGAACACCTGCCGTACCCCTTCGGCCACCGTCTGGAAGAGCTCCGGCTCCTTCTTGCGGCGGGCATCCTTGCTGACCCAGCTGAACATTCTGCCGGAGACCGAGTTGGCTGCTGCAGGGCAGACCCGCGGCTGAGAGCGAGGCGAGAGCTCGGAGCCGAGGCGGGGCCCGGCCGGCCGGCGGAGGGCGGCGGGGCAGTGGCAGCGGGGCAGGGGGCGGAGAGCGGCCCACACTGCGCAGGCGCACAGCACAACCCGCAGAGGCGCCCTCTGCCGAGTGGAGCGCGCCTCACCGTGAGCCCTTTATAGTGTCGGACCTGGGTTCCCGCGCGCCGCCGCGGCCGCGGGGACAGCGAGGCATTGAGAGAGGGAGGAGGAACCCCGCCTGGCCCCGCCCCCAGGTGCGTGCCACGTCCTCCCCTCCCCCGCCTCCCATTGGCTAATTCCAAATCTCGCGAGTTGTTAGCCGGGTGCCTTGGCGACCGCACCTGTTTTACCCGCCCCTCGCGGGGAGGCTCGCGGAAGTGCTGCGGTTAGAAAAGCGCGATGCTGGTGTCGGGTACCGGGAGATCTCTGGCCCGGTGCGCCTTCCGGCACCCGTGGACGCCCCCAACCCTCCAGATGGTTCCGCGAGACAACTAGTTGGAGACCGTAGCTCACTACGCGCCCACCCACAGTTCCCTTAGTGAACCAGCCTTCCAGCGGCTCGGAGTCCCCAGAAAGCCCCCTGGGGGCTGCGGCGCCTCCTAGTCTGTCCCCGTCTTCTCTGACTCACACTCTCAGCCCTTCGTTTTTTGTGTTTTGAGAGAGGGAGACAGAAGAGTAGAGTAAGCGGCGGGGGAGGAGGTGCGAGGGGATTCAAAGTGGAGCTGGAGATTACTGTAGAAAAATGGGGAAAGGAGACATGGAGAGAAAATCCGACGGGCGGCAGGAGCCCTGAGCTCCTCTCGGGCCAGTGGGGCAGGGACTGGAAGATGGCACAAGCGGTGGAGGAGAAGAGGTCTCCCCCAGAGGGCCTGCAACTGGCAGGGCAGGAGGGGCCAAAGAGGAAGTTGAGGCGCTCTGATCACTTGGGTTTTGAGGAAGTGAAGTCGGAAATTCCCTATATGGAAAAAGAGGGAAATGTGGGGCAACAAAGAAATCTTGTGGGAACTTAGGGGAAATTAAAAAACCCAAATACTTCCTCTTTTAGGGTCACTATTAGTTATCATCTTTTACTCTGACCTATGCCCTACCCTACCCCCCTTACCAGTTCCTGGCTGTTCCGTGGAGCTCAATCTCCTGCCATCCTCCTTGGTCACACACAGACTCCCTTGGCTGTCCAGGATGGTGAGAATCAGTGACTGATGTCAGAGCTTTGGGGACTGTGATTGTTAGGTAACCAGTGTCAGGACATCGAGGTGTGGGTGGGGAGCCTGAGGGCTCTTGGAGAGATTTCAAATGCACATCGGCGGACCTGGTCTGTGACCTGGTAGTTAAGGCAGCCAGATCCCACGTGGCCCACTACCTTGTTTTGAGTCCCAGGCTTGGCTACTTGAGAAACATACGGGTGTGAGTGCGTGCGTGCCCAAAATCCTAGAAGGAGGGAGAGATGGAGGAAGGACTGTAGTGTGACCATTCCTCATAAAGAGTGCTTTGTCTTTGGACCCCCATCTCTCTGTCTCTTTGGTGAATACATGTGCCCTCTAGCCAAAAGAAACTCAGGAACTTAAAAGCCTCCTGCCTGATTTCTAGCTTCTGAGAGTCGTGCAAGTGTGGATGCTTGGGCGCCTGCATCAAGGAAGAAAGCGGGTTGAAGGGCTAAGAAAACAGAGGTGGGAACTGGAACCTGAGAATAAAGGGCGCTGAGCCAGACAAAGACCAAAGATGGCAAGAGGTGAAGCTTGCTCACCCATCCCTTGCAGAATGGGGCCGCTACCGTCTATGGGAATAAATAATGTTGATTAGATTGATTCTCTTGTTCCCTAACCATTGGAAAGCAGATGAGTAATTGCAGCCCTTCCTGTGACCTAAGGTCCCTGAGTTAGCCCTTTCATTTGGGATTTCATTAGCATTCTTTTCATCAGCCATGGTAAAGCATAGAAGTCACAGGCCTTTTTTTTTTCTATTGTCCTCAAAAGAGAATATTGAGGCCCCTGCAGGCAGAGGCTGCCACCAGCAGCTGCGTGTCAATTGGTGACCAGGCGCCTCTGGCAGGCCCAGTCCAGACTTCCTGGGTCAGCCTCAGAAGCCAAAGGATTTGCCTCCTACACAGATATGAGGGACCCACCCCGGAGATGCAATTGCCGGGCTGGTCCAGGGAAGGGCCCGGGGCAGAGGATCCTAAATGAGGTGGTTGTTCAGTGGTCTGAAGGAGGCTACATGGAGCTCCGTCCGTAGGAGCACTCAGTTGACCCGCCATGGTTTCCACATCTCCCCAGAGCCCTATGTGCTGGGAAAACCCAGCCCCAGAAAGCTGAAAACAACAAAATGTTCCTGGGTTATTTATAACTGAAAACCAGACCCTGTTGTTATGTATGGCCGCTCCACTTTCTCCAAAGAGCTTACAAGATGAGAGGAAGGGCTCTCTCTCACTCTGGTGAGGATAAAGGGACCAGGAATTGGTTCCCCCAGACGTATGGAGTTGTCACCCAGGTCTTGAGCAACGTCCTTCTCTTGTAATGTCCCAGATTGTGAAAGTCTGGGACATTTTCTTTGTAAGTTTTGAGCAGGGCACTTTCTGTTTGGTGGGAAAATTTCGTGAAACATGAATGAAACATTTCACTTTTGGTTTCTCTATTGTTTCACTTTTTGCCCTTCCACCCCGGTCCCCAGCAGATTGACACAAAGTTCAGATATTTTCCTTTTATCTCAGAAACCATGCCCATCCTCTGCTTTTTGGGGTGCCTGTGGGTGTCTTCAGAGAACAAGGAGGTCTCCTGCTGCCTCATTTTCCCTCAAAACGGTCTGCTCAGTTCTATAATGGTCATATCTAGGGAAGTATCTTACAGGGTCCCTAAAGACAACTTAAAAAAGAGTTTTTAATCCAAATATGGCATATGAATCAGTCTGGGAAAAGCCACAACCCATAGGTTTCTCCCTGGGATGAGGAGTGAGTGGTTCACCCTTTCCACTGAGAAAGTTTGTGTTTAAGCACAGATTTTTGTTCTGGTAGTCATGAGATTTGGCCAACAGCTTTGTTTTGCCAAAGAAAGGTCAGTTGCTTGGCACACAGGAGTCTCCAATGCTGGCCAGAAGGGCATCCTCTCCACACCACAAGGCTTCTCTCGAGATAGCAGTAACCATGGCCCATGGATGTTGGAGTTGAAGGTGACAGTGTCAAGATCTTAGCTGAATGGCTGGCCGTGTGGCCTAGTGGTTAAGGGAGTCAGATCCCAAAAGACCAACTGAGGTCCAATCCCAGGCCTATGGCTTCAAAAACATGCCAGGCATATGTGCATGTGTGGCCCAAACCTGACAGGATGGAGAGATGGAAGAGAAAGGATTGTGGGATGACCACACTCCATTGGAGGTGCTTTCTCTGTCTCTGTCTCTCTGTGGAGAACACTCATGCCCTCTGGCAATTAAAAAAAAATCTTAGCTGATTCCAAATCCCACTGAGAAAAAGCCGGAGGCCCCAGGATGCTCTGTGACTTGCTTAAGATGGCCCAGGTCAGAAGAGACGCTGGGCCTGCAAATCCTCACACTGCTCTTTCCACAATGACCTCACCACATGAAATGCAATCAGGCATGTGGAAGCGCAGAGGAAGAGGGCTTCAGGAGCTCCTCTCCCAGCTGCAGACTGGTTGAGCTCTCTGCCTCGAAGTCCATCAGCCTTCTGCTGATGCAGCCTCTGCTCTGCTGCCTGGGGTCGGCCTGCGCCTTGCCCAGTATGACATGCACATACGACTGCACGGTGCTTTGGTTAACTGAGTCTTAGGGTCCTCCGAGCCCCTGTGATGAAACTATAGTTCAACTGCTGGGTTAGAGGAGGCCACCCACTGCTGGGCTTCTAAATATGTGTGTCTGTCCCCCTGGCCTCTGGCCCTAGCTCGCAGGGGCTGCTGAGGCAAGGACTGCAGCTGGGTGTTTACCCAGAGCCCCGGCACCATCTGGCCCTGTCTGGGGCTCCAGACTTTTGCTGTGGACAGACTGCACACAGGACCCTACAGGAAGTGGTTTCTTATTTGGTACATGAGCGATTTTTTTTTTTTTTGAGAGAGAGCAAGGGAGAGAAAAAGTGAGAAATCACTCCCCAGGGGAGATGACTACCCACAATCCCCTCTCCTCCAGTCCTTTGGGCACATGTGGCAGTCCGGCCCCCTACTCTGTCAGCAGTCTCTTTCACACTCATTTGGCCCAGTCGGGACTTATCTCACCTTCTTCATCCTGCCCTCAAGTACAGGCAATGGTGTGGGGTCACCTGAAAGGGACCTGGAAGCTAGAGTCTCCACCAAGGCCTTTTACCCCACTCCATGCTCACGCCCAGAAGTGCGTGTTGAGCTGTCATGAAGGCAGCTACTCAGAGACAGGATCAGGCCTCCCTTTTCTGCTCATCCAGCCTGGCCCTTGGTTCTATCCCCCCTTCCAAATAAAAAACACTTCTCTTGCCTGTTTTTGGCTTGTTTTTGTCATAAGGTGCATGTACTTGCTGCAGAGAGACAGAGACAGTGAGAGGGAAAGTGAGAAATTATTTCCTGGGGTGATGGCCATACCACAGTTCCTTCTCCTCCATTCTTGTCCTGGGAGTTTGGGCATGCACTTACACATGCCCGGCATGAGTTTCAAGTCACTGTCTGGGACTCGAACCGAGGCTGGTCTTGTGGGAGTTCAGCATCTTAACTACCACATCACCTGATGGTTCCCCAATGGGGTTGTGTTGTGGCATTTTGATGCATGATGGTAGAAGACTAAGACTACAGCTATCGATTTGTCTTTTGGTCATTCCCAAGTCACTCGGTAGGCAGCACCTGGCAGCCATTCGACAGGGGACTGGAGGGGATGGTGGGAAACTAAAGGGGCCCTGGAGTGCGAAAAATTGAGAAGGAAGACTTTGTGCAGTGTGACCTCGTTTCACACAGGCATGCGCACGCGTGTGCACGCGCACAGACGTTCTTAACTGGGAATACTTATGCTCTCCAGGGAAAATTTGGCAATTGGCAATGTCTGGAGACGTTCCTCGTGGTCACAACTTGGTGACTAGAGGGTAGAGTGCAGGGGTACTGCTAACCACCCAGCAATGCACAGGTCAGCCCCACAACAGGGACCTGTCAAGCCCCGAATGTCAATAGGACAGAAGTTGGGGGGCCGGCGGATGGTATGGTGGTTATGGTGGGGGGCTCCCACCTTTTTTTTTTTTTTGGCTGTGGGGCACGTGTGCTTGCTGGAGAGACACAGAGACAGAAAGCAAGAAATCACCCCCCAGGGAGGATGGCCACATTACAATCTCTGCTCCATTCTCCTCTTGGGATCTTGGGCACACATGCACATGTGCCTAGCATGTTTTAAGCTGCCAGGTCCTGGACTCAAACCGCAGTCGACTATGTGGGAATCCAGTGATGTAACCATTACGCCAACTGAACAGTTTGAGTCCTGGCCCTGGTGACTTGAAAAACATACCAGGCACACGTATGTGTGTGCCCAAAATCCCGAGGACACCAAAGAAGAGATTGTGGTGTGGTCATTCCCCTTGGGGGGTGCTTTCTTGCTTTCCCTCTCCCTGTCTGTCACTCTGTCTCTCTCCAGCAAGCACACGTGCCCCACAGCCAAAAAAAAAAAAAAAGGACAAAAAAAAAAGGTATAAGTTGAGACCTCCTGATACACACACACACACACACACACACACACACTCACTCACACTCACACCATGTGCTGCCAGCCACTCCTGAGAAGCAGCACAGCATAAGGGCAAAATGCATGGACACGGAACAGACCGTTCAGGTTCAAGTCCTACTAACTGTGTGACCTTTAGCAAGTCACAAGGTCTCTGAGACCAGCCATGACATGGAAGATGACACAGTACCCGCCTCACAGAACTAATTGAGTTAACGAGCACAGAGAATGGAGACTAGCAACGGCAGCTGGTTCACCTGATTCCCGGAAATGTCCGTAGACTAGCCCTGCGTCGTGGTAGCTGAAGCAATTTTTATTCACTTTTTCTTTCTTTTCCTTTTCCTTTCTCTTTCTCTCTTTCTTTCCCTTTTTTCTTTCCTTTTTTCTTTGCTATAAGGTGCATGCAGTCGCTGGAGAGACAGAGAGACAGAGACAGAAAGCAAGAAATCACCCTCTAGGGAGGATAGCCATACTACAATCCCTTCTCCTCCATTCTCCTCTTGGGATCTTGGGCACACATGCACATGTGCCCAGCATGCTTTAAGCTGCCAGGTCCTGGACTCAATCCGCAGTCAATTATGTGGGAATCCGGCGATGTAACCATTCCGCCATCTGCTGGTCCATTTTATTCACTTTTTTATACTGTCCTGCCTTTTTTTTTTTTTTTTTTAAGAATCGTTTATTTTTATTTATTTACTTACTTTTTAGGTTTTTTGTATGTTTGTTTGTTTTTTGCCATAGGACATGTGTGCTTGCTGGAGAGAGACACACACAGAGAGAGAGAGAGACCGTGAGAGGGAAAGTGAGAAATCACCCCACAGGGAGGATAGTCACGCTGCAATTCCTTTTCCTCCATTCTCCTGGGATTTTGGGGCATGCAAGCACATGGCATCATTTTTTAAAACCATCAGGTCTATGACTTGAACTGTGGTCAGCTGACCTCTGTTATTTTTTAATTTGACCAGGGAGAGAGAGAAAGGAAAAGTGAGAAAGCAAGCTGCCAGGTCCAGGACTCAAACCGGCCATGTAGTAGTTCAATGCCTTCACCATGCTCTTGCTCGCTACATCCAACTTTTTAAAATTATTTATTTAATCTTATTATTATTTAAAAATTTGCTATAGGGCACATTTTCTCACCAGAGAGAGATAGAAAGAAGAGAAAGTGAGGAAGCAAGCCTCCAAGTCTGGGACTTGAACCATAGTCTGCCATGTGGGAGTCCAGCCCCTTAATCACCATGCCACCTGCTGCTCCCCAACTTTTTTTTTTCAGAGGTTTTTACTATAGGGCGCGTGAGCTCGTCAGAAAGACGGAGAGAGATAGAGAGAGACAGAAAGTGAGAAATCACCCCCCGGGGGGATGGCCACGCCGCAATCCCTTCTCTTCCAGTTTCCTCTTGAGATCTTGGACACGCACGCACACATTCCCAGAGTGAGTTTAAGCCACCAGGTCCGGGACCCGAACCACAGTTGACTACTTGGGTGTCCGGCGACACAGCCATTATGCCATCTGCTGGTCCCACCCCCCAACTTTTAAGTAATAGACATATTTGACATTTTGTTTTATTATTTCATTTGTCTTTATGTATTTATTTTAATTTGACCAGAGAGGGACAGAGAGAGAGAGAGAGAGGGAAGATGAGAAAACAAGCCACCAGGTCCAGGACTTGAACCATGGTTGGCCATGTGGGAGTCCAGCAACCTTAACCACCACGCCACCTGCCAGCCCCCATATATGACGTTTTAACTAAGGGAAAAGGGAGATAAAAGATGAGGGGCACTTGTTTCTCACTCTCCCTTTCTCTGTGTCTCTCTGCTCAAATTAAATACAAAATAATAAATAAAATTAAATAATTGTTTTTAGAAAAAGATGAGAGACATTCTATAAAACACCTGATCTAGGGGATGGCAGGTGGTGTGGTGCTTAAGGTGCTGGACTCCCACATGTCTGACTGTGGTTCGAGTCTCAGACCTGGCAGCTTGCTTTCTCACTTTCCCTCTTTCTGCCTCTCTCTCACTCTGCCCCCCTCTGGTCAAATTAAAATAGATAAATAAATAAAATTAAGTAAAAAAATTCTTTAATAAAAAAAAAAAAAAAAACACCTTATCTGTGCTCTGAAAAATGTCAAGGTCTTGGGACCAGCAGACGGCATAATGGTTACATCGCTGAACTCCCATGTAGTTGACCATGATGCGAGTCCTGCACTTGGCAGCTTAAAACTCACGCCGGTATGTGCACCTGGGTGCCCAAGATCCTGAGAGGAGAACGGAGAAGGAATTGCAGTGTGGCCACCCCCCGGGGGGTGATTTCTTGTGTTTTGTCTGTCTGTCTCTCTGGCGAGCTCATACGCCTATAGCAAAAATATCTCTTTAAAAAAAAAAAAGTCAAAGTCTTGAAAAACACTTGAAAAAAAGCTGAAGATGGTTCCAGATTAAAGATTGAAGGGAACCAGCAGTTAGCGTAATGGCTATGTCGCTGGACTCCCACGTAGACGACCGCGGTTCACATCCCGGACCCGGTGGCTTAAAACTCATGCTGGGCGCGTGTGCGTGCGTGCCCAGGATCCAGAGAGGAGAATGGAGGAG